AGCTTGTGCCTCCCATTGCCGACTCATCTGGGTAAAATGGCTGTCTGCTCGACCCGCTGGCTGGCTGGCTGGCTGGCTGGATGGCTGACTGCCCAGGACACAGGGTGGTCACTGTCAGCAAAGGAGCCGAGGAGAGGGTGCAACTGCGAGGCATATAAGAACGGAAGAGAAAGCATAAGCGACACAAGTACCGAGGCATCCCATCTACAATATCTGATTCCAGGAAAATGGAAAGAGAGGAATGCAAAGTGAACCATGTAGAAATTCATTTTACCGATTATTATTATTGTTTCAGACACGACATGCTCTGTTAACATCTGCACAGTAAGCCTTGATCACAGGCTAACACACGAAATATTTGTCAGGCAGAATGGTAACGCATTCACATGCATTTGTGTAGCAAATGTACTTGTCAAGCAGAATCGTAACGAAATAGCAGCCAGTTGGCTCAATTGGACAAATCAGTTGGAATGAGATGGGTGCCAGACCCATACACTCGCAACTGATTCTTGCAAAAGAGGCGAATAATCTGCAGCTGATCTATCTCTCTTTGCACTCGTGTGTGCATCCCCTTCATCATGACGATGGCATAATCTTGTTGCAGTGGCACTGCCCTTTACTTCCCTCAATGCACCCACTGTTTCCACTCTAACGCTAAATAATAGCAAGTGAGTTGTTGTTCATTCGAAGGAGCAGAATAGGATAAGGAACTACATTAGGGCAATACCCCTAGAAATACCATTTTCCTTCTTAGAAAGCTGCCATTCTGCAGCCCAGCACAGTTGACTCACTGCCCGAGAACTCCATCGCACCAATGCTGCAAGTGACTTGGGTAAACATCTCGCAGTAACAGACAAAGTGTTCCACATGATAAACGAAGTAACCAACAATCTCAACATGTGCACCATCCATCCGCATGAAGAAATACTGTCAAGTTTGTAGGAAAGAGAGGTGTAGGCGGTAGGCCGAAGAGAGAAATGCGACATTGAGGAAGAATGCGGACTGCGTGGGCATCAACATCTTCATAACTCATAATAATTTCCCACCTGCTTCCGCACACCATTCCAACTCCACAATCCGAACTT